CAATTCTCTGTTCATTTCTTTATCCTTCTTGCTTTATTTTTGTGAAATCTGGGACTCTTTCACACATGCCAATTCAGGGGTCGTCTAAGGATTTGGGCTGAGTTTATAGGTATGTGGAGGCTCCTTCTTCCATGGTCTTTTCCCTTCTGAGCCTTCCACCATCACTTTTAATTGTGCTGGCTACCCTGAACTCTTCCACCCAAGGATACCAGCCTGTCTTCACTTTCTGCTTGAGTTCCTGCTCTCTGCCCTCTGCTTGGGAGTATCTCCAGGACAAAAACAGGATTTGTGAATCTCACTAAGTGCAGCTCCCTATTTTCAAGGGTCAACTTCCCTATAGATATGTGTAATTTTAGACTCTCTTTTGTGACTTCAAGTTGTTGTCTTTCATACTCTGTACTGAATTTGTAGTAGTCACCTGGGGAAAGCTTAGTCCACTAGTAGCTACTTGATCATTATAAGGACGTGAAACCACTACATCTACCATTTTATAATCTGCTTCTCCTAACCTGTACTTTAAAAATCCTACACATCGGTGAAGTACATTTTTGGTGGCAAACATGATGTATTACATACAGATGCTCATTTAAAATGTCCTAAACCTGAAATCTATGTAATGTTATAAATCAATGCCATGTCACTGATTTATATATGACACTACACATAATTCCATCATATTAACTATTAAACAAACTTTACATAGCACTTAACTATTGCTAGACAGGTAAGGTGTTTCCAGCTTGTGATACAGTAAAAGTAAAATCAGTGGCCTCCAGAGTCAGGAGTCTCCACCATAGACATGGCACAGATAACTCTTTTTATTTGTAAGAAGATATATATTAGACTTCTTTTTGTTTCAATTCAACATCCTTTAAGCTATCTATTTCATATTTTATATGTATATAATATATTATTATGATAGTACAAGTAAATAGTTTATAAAGATGTACAAATATATTGGATTATGTGCTCAGTTTTATTTAATTTTTTTATAGGTGTGGTATGTGATTTTAAAAGTTTAGTGAGTACAGTCCAGTCATGAATAATGCTTTTTGTCATGAATAATGTATGAATGTATGTATATACACTTATACCTACCTAAATACATGGTAAATAAAAATATAAAAATTTTACATAAAATGTAAAATAAAATAAACATTATTATAGAAAACATTTATTTATATAAACATTATACAAACATTTATTTATATAAAATAAATCATAAAATGTTTAGGTATAATACTGATTATGTTCTTAAGACAATTACCCAGAAGTAAAATTCTAGGTCAAATATTATGGACTTTTAAGATTTTGCCTCATTTTATCAATCTGGTTCAATCATCCTCCAAAAGGATTGTACCAATTCACCCTCAAACAGCAGCGTGCAGGAATATATACCCTCCCATCACCCCTGCCACTGACTATAGTTAGTGGAGTTTTATTCCCTGTCTTCAAAAATGTTTTATTGATGTATAACAGCATTTTAGTTTAATGAGAATATCTTCCTTTACTCATAAAGTTGAACATTCATTTATCATATATTCACTAATATTGAACCTATTTTTGAACTGCCTATTTATTTCCTCTCCTTTTTCTACTAAGATGATTCATCTTTTATTTAAAAATTAATTTTATGAGCTCTTTTTATAGTAACTATATGTATTGTTTGATATGGATGTTAAAAAAATCTTTTTAGCTTATCATTTGTCTCTTATCGACAATATTTCCACATGCACCATAATTTTATGTCATCTAATATTAGTCACTTTCTTCATGGCATCTGCCTTTAGAGTTAGACTTGGAAAGTCATGCCAATACCCTAGGAATATATAACCCACAATTATTTTTTCTCAGGACGTTTACTTTACAGGGAAATATTTAACCCATCTGGAATTTATTATAATAAATTATGCAAGATAAAAATTTTATCATATGCTGAAGTCTTACACATAGATTTGGGACTGTTTCTGGGTTTTCACTGAAACCTACTGATCTAGTCAACTTCTGTGTTAGGATACCAGCCTGTAATTTTTGTAGCTAAGTAATACATTTTGACAAGGGGCATTCCCTATCAAGAACACGGTTGACAAGCCAGAAATGACATAAAAGGGGAGCTAGAAAACCACTTTATATAATAAATATTTTAGAAACTAAGAATTAAACTTTGAGGATTGAATTTCTGTGAAAAGTAGGAATTCAAAAACTAACCTAAGGGGGTTCCATCACAGTTATTTTTCAAATTGTTCAAGATCTGTTACATGGATTGGATTAGATCTGGGTGACTCTAGAGGAAAGAATGAGGACTGATGGGTAGAAATTACTAGAGAAAATTTTTGACACAACCAGGATCTTCCCTAATAATTGTGGTGTTGAGCAAGAGAACAAGTTGTCTCTAAGGAGGATAGAATCAGAAGAGTAGGCTGTTATTCACTAAGGGAAAAAAAACTAAAAAATAAGGTATTTGTCTTTCTCCATCTGATTTAAATACCTTATACAGGTGTTTAAATATAATACCACACAGGTAAGACCCATATAATACTAAATCTGTAATTATGTTACTACGATAACATCTTTTAAAAGCTAAAAAATAAATAAGCAGTGATTAAAGGATGCAATAAAGGGTAATTTACAACAAATAAGAGGCTAGTCTACTTAAAGGACATTCAAAGCTTAAAATTCTGACATCCATGATCATATTCTTCTAAAAGACCAAAGTTATAACCTCACTGACATCAAGACATAAACATTGAGAAATCAGCATTGAGTGATCACTAAGGTAATAAAACCAAAACACTAGTTTCTGAAACATTAGAAGCTGTGGTTTACTTTTTCTTTGTGGGTGCAAAGCTGGACCTGGGAGGTAAATAAAGTAAGTAGAAATTAACAGGTCCCCACATAGCCCTGATTTCGTTGACACATTTAGGCATGACTCAGGATAAACTGAGGTACAAAGGGATATTTCCCCCAAACAACAAAAGAGTTAATGACCCAGGCTTCAGGAAAAAAAATGACCCCTGAATTTTCAGTCTCATTTTCAGTCTGCTTCTGCAGACAACAAAAAAGGGAGCAAAGGTATGTTCTGTACCACCCTCACCCCCATGGATATGGAGAGAATATCTTTCCCTTAATGTCTCAGTAAAATATGCTGAGGTCCCAAGATTCACCTTATTCAAATGCTGTGATTTTATTTATTATTTATCCCAGGGGAGAGAAGGTGTCTCCACAGTGCTCAGAAGACAGGCAAGGCTTTGAAGCCACTAGTGGAAGGCAGAAGTGCCCAGAACAGCAGAGCAGCAGTGCTGTTCCTCTGGGACCAACAACCAGTCCTGTGCAGGAGCTCCTGCCGCTGAACCCGTGCCTAGTCACCTCCACATTCTGGCTATTGTCTCAAAAAAAACACATTTCTGACTTCATGAAAGGCTGGGTAGCTGGGGAAAGCATCCTAGACCATCATCTCTCTAGCCTTCTGGGATAAAGATAAATACTCTGTGAGCACAAGGCATGGCAGTATGAGGCTACCAACTATTAAGGTAAACATGGCTGAGCATTAAAATATAAAGATTCTAAACATAATGTTGAGTGATAAAAGCCAGACACAAGAGTTTTGTATAAATCTTTTTTTAAAAAAACAACATTTTTAAACAAGTTAACTATAATCACTCCACCAGGTTCGGTATGATCAAACTTGAACCTTCTGAATTCAGATACTCAAGTTTGCATTATTTGCAATATTGAGCGCAATGTTTTCCTGCCAAATGCAAGCCTCTCCGGGCTTAGCCCCTGGTATCCACCACCTCAAGGAGGCCTTGTAAGTCAGGAACTGTCTCAGTCTCCCAAGGTCTCAATGGAAACTGGGTTACTCAAAGACCAACTCTTTTAGTATCGGTGCAAAAATGGAAATTCACTTTTGGAGTCTTTGTCATAGGATCATAGGAGATCCTACAAGATCATAGGAGTTCCTGCAAGTCACGGTACAGCAGGAGCAGTATTGGAGATAATGAGCAATGACATAAGAAAGAATCTACGTTAAACCACTGAGATTTTCCCCCAGCTGCACAACTCAGCCCAACCTAAGTCACAGTTCATTTAGCTTACAGTCCACTCTCTCTGCTTACAGTCCACTCTCTCTAGCACCTAGCCAGAAACTTGGAGAGAGGCCAGGGAATAGACACCTTAATGTCCTTCTAGGCCCACATCCATTTTCCCCTAGTACTTTTCCCTCTTATACTATATGAATATCACCCGCAGGTGGTCCCAGGAGAAGGGTGTCATAAGCCTGTTCAGGAGATCAATCATATTTAAGTTTCAGCTGGAGCTGGTTGTTTTTGGTGGCAGTGGTGAATGTGAGGGCAGTGGTAATGGTCGTGATGATGATAGCGATGATGACAGTAGTGGTGGTGATGGTGGTGGTGATGGCATTGATGGTGGTGGTGATGCTGGTAATGATGATTATGGTGGTGGTGATAGAAATGGTGGAGGTTGTGTGTGTATGTGGGAGGATTTGTTTCTAATTTGGTCAATGGGAGTTAAGAGTATATGGTCTATGCAGAAGGGAATCACTTCCCCAGGGTGATTCCCCAGGGAATCTAATGTATTTCTAATGTGACAGTTCTACCACAGAGACAAAAACATGTTCGTACTCTTCAATCTGCATAAATGAAACAAGGTGGGACATTGGGATTTTCTCATATGCCTACTTTCAACATCCTCCAATAGAAATGTTGTAGGATCTTGCTGATATTCCAACAAGTAGATCCTATGTCAACTCTTCCCCACCCCCATTAGTTTCTAATCAAAAAATGCACCCAGTTTGGCAAGCCCTTGGCCAGGTTGTTAAAGCTTCACTCTCTTCAGAGTGAAGAGAAAGGAATGGTTGGCTCAGCAGGTGAACTCCACATGAAGCAAACCATAGCTAGCCTGGCGCACCAGGACCCAGTGATGTGGTGGGGCCAGATAGAAGGGTTGGAAGGGATTATAGGTCTTCCAGAGTTTGGGCCTACCTCTGGGTGAGCAGGTTCAGAATTTCCGGAGGAGGGTGACAGTGAAGACCCATCCTTGTTGGATCACATTTATGCACAATCCTTCCTGAGGTCAAGGGAGGCAGCAGCATCTATAAGGCAGAGAGATGAAAACTGCAGATAGGTTTTGCCTTGGAAGTGCAAATATACATGCAATTATACTGTCATAAAATAAGGCTTCACATTTTAATACAGTTTTCTTCCTTTCCTTCAGAAAAAAAAATTGCACTTTCTCTTGATGTCTCATTCTCACAACTCTGCTACTTGGTAATTACAGTTAAAATGAGAGACAAAATAGGACTAATGCTTACTTGGTTTCCCATATTTCTAGGCACTTGCATAGGACAGATGACTCATTTAATTTTCTTTATTTCTGTTAGAAATATTAGCTCCAGTTGTGAACAGAGATGATAGCATGCCCATGGTCACATAGATACCAAAGGCAGTATCCAGATTCCAACCTGATTATGAGTGACTCAAAACTCATCCTTTTCCATGAACATTATTATATTTGTTGACCCAAGATGTAGAGCAAATAAAGGGTGGAATCAGGAACGGGAGCAGTTTCTAGGAATATCACAATACCTAGTTCTGAATTCTACTTGGCAAGTCTTAGTGCATAATAGCATCTTACTGTAAACTAGGCCATTCACCACCATCCATGACAGTGCCTGACAGTGGAGATCTCTGCACCCACCTTCCACTGCTCCCCACCCCATCACCTCACCCACCTCTAGGGACTAAGCAAGCTCCAAGACACAAAACAAAGACATTTCTAGAGCAGTTATATATAACTGCATACCAGAACCCAATTTTAAGAGTATGCCACTGATATGTTCCTATATACTAGTCACATTCAGAAAAAAAATTAGAGAGAATAGTTTTTTGTTTTTTTTTTTTTAAGTTAAGGGTTTGTACACTGATTGCTTCCCAAGTTCATCTGAGATAGCTTTTGGAATGAAATAGTATGTGAAATAGAATGAAAAAAAGACATTCAAAAGGAGCAGGTAAATAGAGGTGATCAGCACTTGAGATGAGTTAATTATCACTGCTGAGACTGAAATTTAGCTGTGTTTCCTAGCGGGTAATGCATAAAAAGGAAACATAGTTCTCATTATCTAATGATAATAATTTTTTAAATAATTAAATAATCTAAAAAGCTCTGTGTGTGTGTGTGTGTGTGTGCATGTGTATGATGGGTGTCACTGATTTCAAGGAGAAATGTACCCTGTGATTATTTATATGTAAGAGGCAATAGCAACCAAGAAGACTATTTTTTCTTCCTTCCTTTCTTTCCTTTCTTCCTTTCCCCCTACCCTCCTCCTCTGGTTTAAGAAATACAGAAAAGTACAAGGAATAATAAATACAACACACTCATCGCCAGAAATAATTTATGCTTTCTTTTCTAGAATAAGATAAATGAAACAATTCTAGAAAAAAATAGAAACGACTTCTTTAATTATCCTCAATTCCATTTCTTACCTTGCCCCCTGTGGAGGTGATCATTATCTTCAATTTATTGTATATTTTCCCATCTTGCTTTTACATTTCATATATAAACATCAATGAATATATGTATAACATGTGTATGCACACAATACTATTGTGATTTATGTAAATGTTACCATCGAACACAGCTTTTTGCAAACTACATTTCTCACTCAACATTATGCATCTGATACCTGTCCATGTTGACACATGCAGATCTAATTCATCTGACTTGCAGAATAATATTCCAAGCCATGACCATATCACAAGTCATTTATCCCTTCACCTCCTGGACATGTTGTATTCAGCATTACACTCAAACTATGGAGACTCTTGTCTATGTCACATGTTGGAGAGCTTTTCCTTAGGACACATACATGGACATGGAACTATATGTCTATGTCCAAGTTTCCAACAACAGAATTCATTATAGTAGATTTAAACAAAATGTGGCATAATTAAATGCTCGCAGATGGCCTATAAAAATTCCAGCAAGGCCAGAGAAATAAGGGGAACAATACTACCAAGGATAGTCCCAACTGGAAAAGTCAATATCCCACAGCAATGTTCTGATAGAAACACCGAAGTTGCTGGAACTCGTGACTCTGTGGCATGAACACCAATAATTTGAGTTCAGCTGCCCCAGAAAAATCAGCTGCCTTTCTTTCCACCATTTTGTAATGCCTCCTTTATCAAATATTAAAGATCTAGCTATGCTTGGATCTGTGTTTGGACTCTATTATGCTCTATTGACCTGTTTGTCTATTCTGATATCAATAGTACCCTGATTTAGTTATTATGATTTTATATTTGCTAAGGCAAATTCCCTTTCTTTTTCAGAATTATTTTGACTGTTTTTGTACATTTATTCATTTTATATGAATTTTAGAATCAATTTTCAGGTCTGAATACAAATCATGCTGAACTTTTCATTATTGTGCATTGACTTTATAGCCTAATTTTGGGAGAATCAATATCTGTATAATAAAGTCTTCCCATTGACAAACATGGTCTATCTATGTACTTACTGCTTCTCACGTTTTAATAATTATTTTATTATAATTATCCACTAAACTAAAACTGCATTTTAGTTTTTCTTTATAGTTTTTTTAAATTGCACCTTTTCAAAATTATTAAATGTCTACTTTGGTTAATACTGGTGTGTAAAATGCTGAAAGTGAGGAGATGTTAATCTTCTAGCCAACAAACCTGAACTTGAAAGAAAAATAACTTTTCAAAAGTCATTCAGAATTTTGTGGAAACGGTCAAATAATGTATGAATAATAATTACGTCTTAAATGCTCCAGTTCTTATCCTCTTGTTTATCTTCATGTAAAATTACATTTGTTAGAGCATGAAACACAGTATTAGCACTAAAGGCATCAACTAGTAGGCATTCTTGCCTTCTTACTTCCTTGAATAGGAATGTTTGTGACCTTTTGCAATCTATTATAATATTTGCTGTATGTAGAAGGTGCCATTACTTGGTTGAAACTACTCCTAATTTGCTAAGAGATTTTTAAAAACCATGAATGACTATTGAGTTTTATCAAATCTTTTTCCTGCATCTATTAAGGTGATCAATTTTTTCCTCATTTTATCTTTGATGAAAACAGACCTGTTACAAAGCCAGGAGAGAATCATAGAATATTAGATTATTTGAACAGGAAGTGTCCCAAGATGATACCCAGAGTCCTCAACAGCACTCCAGTGGCATTTGGAACCAGATCATCCTAGACTTACAATGGGACTATGTCTCAATAAATCCAGCATGCGTTGAAAATGCTGTGAATTAAAAATGTGTGTAACATTTAACTTAAAAAACATCTTAGCTTGGTCTAGCTGATCTTAAACATGTTCAAAACACTTATATTACCCTATAGTTTAGGCAAACTCATCTAATACAAATCTTTTTTTTTTATAAAGTGTTGAATATCTTGTATAATTTATTGAGTAGTGTACTGCAAGTGAAAAACAGGATGGTTTTTCTGGGGCTGAAGAATGTTGGAAGCATTGAACTAAAATTAATTGCTGGATGATGGGCATGCTACAGAGACAGGGGTCATCAATTTCTCTCTCTTCTGATGTAGTAAATAACTGGAAGAAGACACTATAGAGTATCAATTGCTTACTTGTGTGATCGAGTGACTGATTGGGAGCTGAGACTCATTGCTGTTATCCAGCATCATGAGCCAATATCACACCGTATATTGCTTATCCCAGGAAAAGATCAAAATTCAGTATTTGAAGTATAGTTTCTACTAAATGTGTACGGCTTTCATACCATTAAGATGTGAAATTAAAGGTGAAAATCAGCAGCTCGCAGGCACAGACTGCCTATCTGTGTCTTATGAAGGTGTCTCTCTTTTCTCTATTTCCTAATGAACTTGTCCTTTTAAAATGTAAAAATTAAATTAAATTAACTTAAATTAAATTAAGGGGAAAATCATCAGTCAAATCATCAGAAGTCAGGAATCATTCATCCATTTCTTTCACAAGGGCAAGCAACAGGAAGACATTTCAGAAATCATTATTCCAATGTTTCCATGATATAAAGTCTGTCATAACAATTCCTTAAGTTTCAACTAATTTTTGATGGTTATGAAATAAAGAATTGTCAATGAAGAAGAAAAAAATATAATTCTTAAATCCCTTAATCATTTTCCTTGAAAGACAGCACAGCCCAGAGATTATTCTATTCCTGCCACTGATTTACTGTATGACCCAGCACAAGTCTCCCAACCTCCCAGAGCCCTCTACTCATTTGTGAAAGGAGGACCAGACTATATGCCATGTACCATTGTGTTGAAGACAACAACAATGTATATTTGGCAGGTGCCTGATAAATGGTAGCAGGTATGATTGTCCCTAGGAAGTCAGATAGCTCTTGTGTCTGCCATTTCCAAGAATAATTCAAACCAGGGCTATAGCACAGACAAAGTTAGCAAGGACTCCATTCCAGAGTAAATAAAAATGGGGTGTCAGTTAATGCAAGTCTTGCATGTCAGCAAGGTAGAGAGGAAAGGTAGCATCAGTTTCCTGGTGAAAGACCTGTCAGAGGCGTCTCCAGGAAAAGCTTCCCATCCTTCCATCCACCCACCCATCTGTCCATCCATCCATCCACCCATCTGTCCATCCATCCCTCCATCTATTCACCCATCCACACACCCATTCATCCATCCATCCCAGGGAGGAAAAGGGAGCAAGAACATTCTTGTGCCATCAGTCCTGGACATCAGAACTGGGTCCCTCCTGAAGGACGTGGACATGAACATCAACAAAGAAGAAATGCAGATGACTTATTAATGAATTTAAAATGTTTGTTTGCCCTTATTAATAATTTTCAGTTGACAAATAAAAATAATACCAGTTTTTCTACCCAACAATATGGCAGTGGTTTTTAAAATAGAATTGTCTGTGTACATAAGAGTGCCTGAAAATTATCACCTTTAAAATTGGAGCTGGGAATCCAAACAGATGCAACCTTTGCAGTGGGCAGAGTGTCGGGGGCAGGTATACAATGGGTGCCCCTCACCTCCAAAGGCTCTGTATTGACTCTGCTTACGCCCAAACAAATCCTCTAAATCCATAAAAATGTGTACTA